GCATGTGACCACTGGAGTCTGGCTAGGGTTGAGATGTTCACTGCAATCCTGACCACGTCCATGGAGTGCCTGATCATAGCCACGGTGTGGGCGCTCTCCAGGAAGAGTGGGAGCAGTGCGGTGGGACAGATGGCCCGACTGGCTGGCATGTCCTGCTGGCTTACGTGGTATGCAGCCCATGAAGTGTTCTCCATTGGAGAAGTTTCTTGTAAGGCGACTTGGGTGTGTTTTAGCCAGAAATACTCTCTTTCAGCATGTTGCTTGAGGCTGCTGTTGCTGCTCAGGGATGTCACACTGGTAGCCGGCACGGGGGTGTTCTGGATGCTGCCGACGGATGGGACATCTGTATAGTAGTGCGGCAAACGGTCAACTGTTTTGAGGCCTCTTTCGTTTGGCCCTCCGAGGATGATGATGCTGCGGTCAATGCCGGTCCCAGGGACCACAGAGTGTTGCATGAGGGAAATAGCAGTCCCATGGAATGACTGTTTTGCTGTGGTGAAACTTGGGTTGTAATCAATATTGTCTACCGCGGCAGTCGTGAAGACTCTGCCTCTCATCTTGGGAGGGCAGACTATTTGCTCCTGGTGGTAGAGACGGCAGGCACTGTTCCCCAGCTGTGTGGAAAGGGACAGGACCCGATCATAGGAAATAGAAATCCCCATGTGTGCCAGCCTGGCGACGAGCTTCCTCTTGCGCGTGTGTGCATGTAGCATTAGGCCGATGTAGGTTGGAACTGGCGTCTCCTGCGTGGTGGCGTGCCTGACTGGGTGAGGCGTACTGCCTGTGGCGGCCCGTCCTTGATGGCTCCACATCCAAATTTGTTCATAATATATTGGTCTACCTCTGTGCCAAAATTGGGTTTTTTATCAAAAAATGCACAATAGGTTTGAATATCCTAGGTAAACCGCCGCACTACTGGTCCTTTTGCTGACATTGAAATTGCGATTGCTTGTGTAAAAAGTTTTCTATGGCAAAGCTGTCCATTAGCCGGTACGTTTCCCGGTGTCTAGCGGACAAATCATTGTTAACTACCCGTGTTAGGTACCGTTACGGTGGTGCGTGTGCTACCAATCACCTACAGTATAAACTGATTTTAAATCCAATCGCCATTATGGCTTGCAATTTCATCGTTGCCGCAAAGATCATGTGTTAAAAACATTA